TCAGCTTGTGAATATTTTGACTGAATCATTGTCGGCAACATAGAACACAAAAATTTCTACTATCTATTATATTATAATAATTCTATTATTTATGTCTTTTCTTTTATATCGTTTGGGTTTATCTTTTTTATGTCTGTTGGTTGGTGTTGTGTTTTTTTGGAAGTGCTCCCCCACCCATGAAGCAAATGTCTTAATCAGTCACTTTTATTAGTTGAAATAAGATTATTATTGCCGACTTCTTTAATTGAAAACAAAAATAATTATGAATAATAGAAGTGAAAATAAATATTTAAATCTTTGTTTGAATTGATGCAGTTTTCTGCCGTTAGAATGAACAACAGAACAGAACAGAATGTTAGAAGTCAACATTTGACGAACAATAAATTACTTACTAAATTTACTATACTTTATTCTACGTTAAGAATGGAACGAGGTAGTCTCAGAATGGCAACATTTTTCTCTTTGCCCATTACGTCGATTTTATATTTTATGTATTCTTCTTTGAATGTGTTTATGATTTCATAAGCTCTGATTATAAATAATCTTCTTCAAAAAGATATCTTTCTCCAGCAACCATGTCTTAATTTGATCTTTATTAAATGCTTTTGTCAAAATCACTTTTTTCTCCTCGAATGGTAAGGGGTTATATATCACAACAGTTTTCTCTGGAAGATTATGAAGCCGCTTTTCCTTAAACCGTTGTTCTAATCTGGGACCATCCATCTCATCATGATAGTCCGCTAACGTTTTTTAGCTAAAACCCAAAAAGCAGCACATTCAACAAAGCCCAATTCACTATCCACATGCATTATAACTAGACTTCGGCAAATATGCATATTGCATATTTTGCATATTGTGCATATTTTATGCAAATATTTCATATTTTGGCATATTTGTATAAAAGTTTGCATAAAGTGCATAAAAATTCAGATTTTTATACTGTATTTGAAAATTGTTAAACATACCAATTTATTTCAATTCTTGTATAAAATTTTGTGGTCATTTTTATCAAGAAATGATCTAAGTACGTAATCTCTACAGGTACAAAACATTTACAATTTCAAAGAAGATCAATTTAAGTAGCCCTCAACATTCTTAGAAAGTCTTGGTCACAGTTATTGGATAATCGCTAAGGGTTCGCTCATTTGCATTTTATGAACTAATCCCCAAATCTATCTACAATTTATTGTATCTTAACAGCAGGTAAACGGCTAATAGTTTTGTTCCTAATTTAGGGATTTTCCAAAATCTCCCAGTTTATTGAATTAGGTACCTAAACATTTCTAATTTGATGCTCAAATTTGTAAATCATTTTTGTTTTGATATTCAAAGCGTAAACACTCGTTGTGCGTACCAAAAAGGAAGATTGTGATTTTATAATGCCTAAAACAACCAGTGCTTCAACTTGGATTAAACCTTATAAAGAGCTGTCTATGGATATGGGAAAAATCTACTGTTCAGTCTGTGGCAAAATTGTAAGTATCTAATATTTTCTATTAAATATCTAATATTTCATACCTACAGGGTTTCCAAATGACAATTACAACGTTTGACTGTAGATACTTCTCGAAAAATTGAACAAAACGATATAGTTAATGAGGGGTCAAACTTATTTACTTTTCGAGATACAGGGTGTTAAAATTAAAAAAAAAAATTAAATTCTTTTAGTTAATAACAACAATAACTTTAAAACCAATAATCGTATTTACTTGAAATTTAGTACCTACTCGTAGGTTGTTTTTAGTCAGCTATTCTAAAACACAATTATTTTTATTGTAATTGAATTAACAAAAAAAAACTTTTGTTGAATTTTAAAATAAGTTATATGATGTACTAATGGTTAGTAACAAAAACTAATTTGTGGATTAATACTGCATTTTAAACACTTAGCGAGTGTTTTTTTTTCCAAACAGTTATTTGATTAACCAAAAACACCTTGTATATTTTTATATTTTAAAGGTTGGGTTAAAATAAAGGTTTTATTTTTATTTATAGATAGCATGTGAGAAGAAATTTCAGATAGACCAACATGTGAGAACTGCTTCACACATTGCAAAAAAAGGAAAAATAGGAGGAAAACATCAAACTTCAATGGCTGAATGTTTCCAATCTACTTCAAAAAAATTAGATGAGCAAGAAACTTTTAATGAAGACTTGTGTCGCGCATTAGTGTCTGCAAACATACCGCTTTCAAAATTAGCAAACGTAAATTTTAGTTCGTTTCTAAAAAAATATTGCAAACTTAATGTTCCAAGCATGGACGTATAAATAAAGACGTCCATGGTTCCAAGTGATCGGTCTCTAAGAAGAAATAATGTGAACGGGCTATACTCGTCGGTGTTAATTAATATTAAGGAAGAAATTGCAGATAATTATTTTTACATATCTGTAGACGAAACTAAAGAAGATACCTTACCAAAATCTCATCTTATTTCATGCCAGCAACTTGAGAAAACAAATGCTTTAACAATTTCGCGTTTTATACAAGAAACATTAGCAACTTTTTTTCTTCCGACAACTATTCCTTCTAATAAATTACTGCTTATTTTATCGGATGCTGCTCCTTATATGGTGAAAGCAGGACAAAATTTAAAAATATTTTTCCCAGATTTAATACATGCTACTTGTGTAGCGCATGGATTAAACAGAGTTGCAGAGGAAATACGAAAAAAGTTTCCTCTTGTAAATACCATGATATCCAGTGTCAAAAAAGTATTTCTTAAATCTCCTATAAGAATTCAACTTTATAAAGAAATGCTACCTAACATTCCTCTTCCACCACAACCTATTTTAACGCGATGGGGAACATGGTTAGAAGCAGCTAATTTTATGCAGATCATTTTGTTAAAATAAAGAACATAATTGATACGTTAACAGATGAAAGTTCCCAATCTCTTTTGGATTCTAAACAAACTTTTCAGAGTAACTTGCTTCAACAAGAACTTTCATTTATAAAATCAAATTTTAGTTTTGTTCAAAAAACAATTATTCAGTTAGAATCACCAAAACTGTCATTGATCGAAAGTACAGCATTAATAAAAGAATTTGCGTCATGTTGTCGGAACGTTAAAGGTAATATTGGAAAAGATATTTTAAAAAAATTTGAAGCTACTATGGAAAAAAATAAAGGTTACCATATTCTTTCTGAAGTAGTCAGTGTTCTAGCTGGAAATATTTCGGAAACAATTAATTTAGAACCAAATGTTTTGGTTAGTTTGAAAAATGCTCCCGTTACATCAGTTGATGTTGAATGAAGTTTTTCCATATATAAATATATGTACTCAGACAGAAGCCACAAGTTTTTGTTAGAAAATTTTGAACACCACTTGGTCATTTATTGTTACCATAATTCTAAATAAGTTTATTTATACTTAAAAATGATGTAGTTACTTAAAATAAATGTAAATCTTAATGAATAGTAGGAAATATTTAGTTATGTACACTTTTTTTTTAAATAAAATTGTTACTATTTTACGATTTTTTTATTTATTTGTATGCATATTTTGTAAATATTTGCATATTTTCGGGTAAACACGTGCATATTTATGCGCATATTTTCTACATTTTTATTTGCATATTTGCCGAAGTCTAATTATAACAAACCAGGGGCCTCGTTTTGTCGGCTGTTTTAGGCCTGTTGACAACCCCTTAACAAACTCTGTTCAATGTCGGAGGTAAACTTTTAAAGAAAAAACTATGCATAATGGCAAGGAGCCGCGTATGAACTACTGCGTCATGAAGTGAGTGAACTTTTTGCTGTTCACTGTACTTTTGGTACGTTTTCTTGTTTTTTTTACGGGGCTTAGTTCTTCTTCCGCAGCTTCTTTGCGTATTTTAGAAATAGTAAGAAAACCTACTCCCGTCATAGCACTTACTTTATCGATTAAACTTTTACTAAAACTTTCACCACTCTTTAAATTTAGATTTGGACAGTGTCCAAGATATTCCCTTGGCTTAATTTGTGAATTTATATTTTCAATGATCATTAAACTGTGAAGTCAGAATAACTACTAAACAACCACAAAGATTGATATTATTATAGATACGAGTTAGATAATTAGTTTGTAATGATTACCATGATTCTAATGGTATGTTGTATTCTCACCGAAAGAAAATTAACCTGTCGTTAATATAATTAAAATAATATAAAATAAAATTATCTTTTGTAAATAATATTTATTTAAATAAAATCATTTTCCCTATTTTTCATCTCTTGAGTTCGATTGGCACTTCTGGTCAGTTAAGTTAGAAAACATTAATTTTAATTCATTTCTGTGGAAAAGAAAATACAAATACAGCCCTGAATTGTGCTTGTACCCGTCGTTGTATCGGCGCGATTCTATGGGTTCAGTGAACAGAGTAAATCACAGCCGTCAAATGGGAAAGAGTACTTTTCCCATATCAGTTTACGACAAATAGCATAGTAGTTGAGAAAGAGTATCTTTCATATCACAGATCACCTACCTCCTCTTATTAACAGTTATTAGTGGTCTGTGTTTCATATATCAGTGTACAACAGGTACACATTATAGTTTCAGGTGCTGTCTCACCTGAATATAGTTCTTTCTTATTCAGTCTCAGTCTTCTTCTTCATTGTGTGCCTCATCCTTTAAGGACATTGGCAATCATCATGGCCATTTTACTCTTTATCTGTCTATCGGAGTTCTAAAAAATTATATTGCTGTTTTTCCACGCAACTGCATTAACTTTTTCAACCAGGACGTTTTTCTCAATACTCACCGTAAAGTATTGCCGATAGTATATAATATATTTAGTTCTAACTGTAGTGAATTTAGTAATTAAGTTTTAACTATTAATTAATATACACTTGATGATGATTATTTTACTTTTTTCAAGTAAAGAATTCTGCAAGATTAAGTGTACTTTATCTATTAATAAGGTGTGTAGGAATTTTTGTGTTATTGGTTTCCGATATGACTCTATCAAAATATTCCTAAGCCAAGGGAACTTTTTGACAACTATCAACTATATATTTGTCGAAAATATATAGTTGATAGTTGTCAAAAAATGGATGCGTTTCCAAAATTTGTTTTAAATTATGCCTTTATTTCTTGACGTTAATCTAAACGTTATAAATAGCATCATTAAGAACTGAAAATAAATTTTATGGCAATGCCAATAACTAATTATGAAACTCTTTACAGGAAAATGGGTTTTGTTGTAGACAAAGTTTCCGAAGACTCATTTTATGAAAATCTTCTTCTTGGATTATCAAAGGTATTAGAAAAATCACCCTACATATCAAACCTTTCGCTAAAGAGATTCTCAGGATTGAGACAGATAGATATTAGAACTTGGGAACATAATAACGGAATCTCTTTACCAGAAGATTTAAAAGCTTTTTATTCGTCAACTAATGGGTTCTTGTATTCTTATGATTTTTCTTACGAAATAGAAAATCAGGAAAAAAAGAACGTAAGACAAGGAAAGATAGAAATAAATCCTTTGAATGATGTATTAAGAATATACGGTTATGAAACTAAAAATACAGCGCAAATAGAAAAAGTAGGAACAAAATTAAAACTTGTGCTTTCTAAGGATAGTAAAGTATTCGAACTTTGTTCAATAGATGAAAATGCAAAACTTGTCTTGGTGTATATAAACACATACTCGAATCCTACTATATGGTTGTACACAATTTCTATGGTATTCAATTATCTAGCTGATGATTTTACCACATATTTTCGAAGATGCATTGCCCACTTAGGCATCCCTTGTTGGCAGTATATAGCTTCTAGCAGAGGTCTGCCCGAATGGGCAAAGGAAATTTTTCTTCTACTAGCTCCAGGGGTATTATCAGAAGAAAAAAATCTGGTTGACATACCGAAAGTTCATATAGATGATACGAACATAATTGATCCAGCTGTTTTCATGAGTTCTACTAACAGCAGTCATGGTCTCATCATGCAAGCCATGCAACAAGCCAAGGCTACTAAAGACCGAGAGAAAAAATTAAAGCATGCCAACAAACGTCAAGTGAGCAGCCGATTAACTAAAAAACATGATAAATAAAACTAAGAGAAAAGAAACAAGTATGTTATTTTAGTACCTTTTTTAAATTAATTTAAATCTTTTCTTTTACTAATGTCAGAAGTATTTATTTTTTGGAACAACTCTATCTTAATATACCGGGTAATATACGTATAACACAGCCAACCTAGGGACACTGATAAATGTACTTTTTAAATATTCAATAAAATAATAAAAGTGACTAGTGAACTAGTTTAAAATTTGATCAAATCAAACGAAAAAAAGAAAACCTAAAAATGGAAAAAACTTGATTGGCCACGATACTTGTTAAGCGTCAACTACTGCGTCAAGTTCAGTCGACCGATTTTAGTTGAACAAGACTTAAATAAAAATTGTAAGGATCTTTCTTTCAGTGGAGTTGATCAACTTTGTAGTAGATCATCTACAGTATTATCTAACCAAACTTTCGATGTTGCCGATTGATGTTGGATTTTATGATACGTCTGGTAAGATGTTTTGTATGCTCTAATGTTGTCAGACATACCCTGTTTAGATGCAGACCCTCGTCTTTACGATTGAAATTGTTGCAATGTTTACGAATTTCGATAGCCTTTCTGAACATACGTGGATAGTAGCAACTTTATGAGTCAGCATAAAAATGTAAAGCAGTGGAGTGGAGAAACAACAATAGGACTCTTAGAACTGCTGCAGTCAGAGTTAAATGAGCTGTGATGATCGCCAATATTCTTAAAAGATGAGGCACATTACGAAGAAGAAGTATGTCAACTTAATAAATGAAAGACATTATTTCAATCGAACCTATTCATAAACTACTGTGGAACATTTTCTATGTGGAACATAGAAAAAGAAGCAGGAATAGTACTAGGTATATGAAATATTCGTATATAATAGGACACACAGTGGATTTGGATAAACTATACATAGAATAACGCGCAAAAATGTTTATTCTTAAATAAGTGCTCAAAATGTGGCTCAAAAGATAGGATCATGCTTATACGCCAGTAAATGAAGATGAAATTTGTACATGAACGTGCAATTTTCCGTGTCACCACCGAATTGCATGAAAATTTGGATGTAAGCTCTACTTATCCTCATTTTTATGTTATAGGGGTGAAAACTACTCCTATTAGAAAAAATTCGTATAATTGTAAATTAAAGCGGGTAATTGATTTAAATAATCTTTTAATGAAGTGAATAAATGTCAATTAACATTAAAATATAATTTAAGATTTTATTACAGTTTACCCCCTAAGTCTCAATCCCTTGAATAGTTATACTTAATTAAAACAATGTCATTGAATACCTTATCTCCACTGATTTGCATAGAAATTTGGATTTAGATTATACTTACCCTCAACTTCAAAGTTGGACTTGTGCCGTTGGTTGTTTTTATTTATATGGGTGAAAACTACCCCTATTAGAAAAAAATCATATATTTGTAAATTCAATAATTTGGAATTACTTAATTATACAGTGACATTAAATTTAGATTTCTTTACTGTTTTAATTTTTTACCACATAATTTCTAACCTAATGAGAAAACCACTCCTTGAGAGTAAATTCTAATGGTTGTATTTTTTTTTCAATTTTTTTATTATATATATATATATATATATATATATATATATATATATATATATATATATATTATGATATGTAATATTGAAAATAATATTGGTTTGCTTTTAATATATTTCAAAGTACAAAATAAAAGATATTTCGAATAAATGAAAGTCCATTATCCTGGATTACCTGTAGTAAACAAAATTTAAAGATATGTATAATTTATTTTCTTTGTAAAATATATTCGAGTGACGTGAGTGAGCTTAGTGAAATCGTGAACAATGCGAGCGGGTTTTCCAAATAGATTTGTACGTCGATATACAGTGAATAAGACAATAGAATAGAAATATTTAGAAAATATAATTCTCCGTTAGTTCTTAAGAATTTGTAGAAACCGATTAGCATGTTAATACTTTTTAGGAACTTTATAATTGTAGGTAAAATTGTTGTTTATTATCTAAATAGTAGATGGGGATAAGTGTAACGAACTCTGATTGGAGATTGAAAAAAGTGGGATAGGTATGTAGGAAAGAGAGTTTAGCTAGATTTTTGAAGGAGAAAATATAATCAGTTGTTTTTCCGAGGGTGCAAGGCGAACAGTCGTTGTTCTCTATTGGTTCCCCAGAGGTAGTAAGCAGTAGAAGTGAATGTTTGTGAGTTTTCGTGGAGTAAGTGTATCTGACAGAAGCTGATCCAGTAAAATATTGTAAGTTATATTGTTCTACTTATATTCCAAGAGGCTGTTCAGGCCAGAACGAGAGATTCAGTTTATCGAGAGAAGAGGCTAGCATCATTAATGTCGAGGTTAATTATGCCATTAAAATATCGATACATTTTTTGCAAAGTAACGTAAGTCACCAAACACGATTTGTATAAAAAACAATTTTTTAATTCAACCTGGTTAAACTTATTTAAATTATGACTGAAAAACTTGTCCTAAAAAAGGTTTAAAGTAATTCTAGGCTTACTACACTTTGGCAGTACCTTTTTAACAGTAATAGTGTTAGTTTAATTGAAAAACATTATTTTCGCCAAAAATGTCACTTACGTTACTTTCCAAAAATGTATCGATATATCAAGAAAAAGATAGGACCGGCAGAGCCTTGAGGTACGCCACAACTAATAAAGATATTACTAGAGTAGTGTTAGTGTGATACAGACTGGCATCTGTCTTCCAAGTATGAACCGAACCACTTTAGAGCAGTGCCTCTAAAACCATATCTTCAAGTTTATTAAAAAGTATTTTGTGATTGACACAGTCAAAGGCTTTAGATAGATCACAGAAAACCGCAGCAGCAACAAAATCTTTAAGTCAAATTACAGTTTTTCCATGAATTCGAAGATGGTATCATGTAATGTAATGACTGGAAACCGAATTGATAGAAAGTAAACTGTGTTTTTGTCAGAATCACTCGGATTTTTACCAAATTTTCTGCAACCTTTCAAAGCAACGGCAACAAAGACATAAGACAACAATTAGCAGGTAAATCGTAGTCACCACCTTTATACAGAGGAATAACTTTAACAAATTTTAAACAATAACTAAAATCACTTGTTGAAAAATACGTGTTTATTGTCTCCGATAAAACTCTCAGAACATTATCAGGAACATGGGATAAAACTTTACATGGCATATCGTCCTAGCCATAAGATTTTCATTTCAGCCGATTTAGTAGGAAGAAAATAAAAGGAATCTGCATTGTTTATTCCATTTAAAAAATGCATTAGATCAGAAAAATAAATTTTTTCAGTGAGTTCTGGACCTAGCGAACAGTAATATTTATCTAGCTCACTAGGCTCTAAGACTATATCAGTAGTTTGGGGAACTTTAGCTCTAAAGCTCGGTACACATATACGAGCCAAACGGTATGCGAAGGTTATATTCGTTAGTGTGTACAGCAGAAAAAACCGCTTACGTACTGTGTGATCGTGACTCGTTGCGAACCAAATTGTAGCGGTTTATTCCATGAAGAAGCTCGTTTTTCAGTTTGGACGGTGCACTATTCCAGCGAACATTTTTATTGTCTCATCAAATCGACATTGTGTGAATGACGTGTTCCTTCCTCTTAGAGAGACGTGAGAAAACAGTAAACTTATTATTGTACATATTTTTATTTTTGTAAGAAACAGAAACACGATAAATCATTACCCAAATTATAAATAAAATGAATCATTTCGTACATGTGTATTCGTTGTTAGTTTTGTCGCTTTCCATGGATCGAGATAAGTATGCGATCTGTACGATGTAGATATATTTTCAAGGATCTGTACGCGTACGCGTATACCGTTTGGCTCGCATATCTGTACGCACCTTAAGCTCAGTACACATATTACGAGCCAAACGGTATGCGAACGCAATATTCGTTAATGTGTACGGCAGACAAAACCGCTTACGTACTGTTTGATCGTGACTCGTTTTATTCCACGACTTCAAAAAAAGCTCGGCGTTCAGTTTGGACGGCACTACTAAACGCAGCGAACATTTTTATTGTCTCATCAAATCGACATTGTGTGAATGACGTGTTCCTTCCTAGAGAGACGCGAGAAAACAGTAAACTGATTATTGTGCATATTTTTATTTTTGTAATAAACAGAAACACGATAAATCAGTAACCAAATTATAAATAAAATGAATCATTTCGCACATGTGTGTTCGTTGTTGGTTTTATCGCTTTCCATGGCGCGAGAGAAGTTTGCGATCCGAATGAAGTAGATATATTTTCAAGGATCTGTACGCGTACCGTACGTATACCGTTTGGCTCGCATATCTGTACGCGCCTTTAAGATAATTAACTATACGCCAATATTCCTTTTTTTGTTATTTGCATTTTCCATTCTAGATTTAAAAGATATACATTTAGCTAATTTAGTATCCTTCCTATAGATAAACATATATTTAGAGAAATACATCAAAAATTCATTATTACATATTATGTTTTTTAATGTACTTTAATGATTTTAAGTTTTTGGTGGAAATTCTAATTCCTTTAGTAACCCAAGTTTCTTTCGTTTTTTGATTTAAGAATTTTTTTTGAAACGCCAAAAATCTTCATGAGTGTGTGATGAAATTGATGGAGCAAATTAAGAGAACAAAAAATATTATGCCAATCTTCCTTACATAATTTAATACACCTGTCAAGATTATATTTGCCGAAAACCCTACCTCACCTGGTTGGTTCGGTAACCAGCATTCTCATGTTAAAACTATTAAGTAAATTTATAATGGTAACATGGCTGTGTGATGAATCCAGATAATCAATATTACCTACAGTCACTTGTGAAATTTGTTCAAGCAAGGACTCCAATCTGGGAAATAATAACTGAATAATAGACTTAGGGGGCCTATACACAACAATGAGAAAAGTATTAAGCTTCTTACTGAAGTAATAGAGAATTCAAATTCAGATTCAATGCACAGGTGGTATAATTTATTGTAGTCAACACAATTGAATTTATACCTACTGAAACATCGTATTAATTAGAATCAATGTTCCTCTATGGATACTTTCAAATCTGAAAAATTTAGATATTAATACAAGTGTTTCTAGAGCATATAAACAGTGCTCAATTAAAAGCAGAAGATTTTGCCAATCATTTTGTCCATACTTCCAGTTCCTCAACTTTATTGCGTACAGAACATATGTTG